TAGGGTTTCGGGTACTATAACACCCATGCTCTGAAGCGTTGAACCCTAACCCTAAACCCTTATAAACCCTAAACCCTAAACCCTAAAGCGCTAAACCCTAAACCCTAACCCCTGACCCCTAAACCCTAAACCCTAAACCGTAAACCCTAAACCCAAACCCCTAAACCCTAAACCCTAAACCCTAAACCCTGAACCCTAACCCCTAAACCCTAGGGTTTAGGGTTCGGGGATTGAGGCTTAGGATTTTCGACTTGGGACTCAGGCAGAGGCCTTAGTCAAATGTTCCAGTCCAAACGAAAATCTCCGAAACCGAAACCCCAGTGTAGTACAGGGGCTTGGGCCTTATCATTTAGAAGGGCCGTCTCCGACAACAAAACAAGGACCACACGGAGATCGCATTGCTATTTATTTAGACCCCCCTATCAAAGGCCTGGCTAAAAATCCCTTTCTGTAATCACAAGCAACTTGTGTTATAATCGTTATCTTAAAGGTGGGTGGTGGGCAGTGCTTCTCAATCAGAGGTATACAGATTCTCTAAAGCCCTTCAAAAAACGCAAAAGCCTGAAACCAATCAAGAATCTAACCCCCGAAACCCACGAAACTCCCAAACTCTCCAAACAACGCTGAAACCCTGAACTCTAAACCCTAAACCCTAAAGTCTAAACGCCCAAAACCCTCAACTCTAAATGCCCTGAACCCTAAACTGTAAAAGCCCTGAAGACCCTAAACCCTAGGCCCTGAAGGCCCTAAGCCCTAAACTCTAAGCCTTAAACTCTAAACACCCTAAACTCTAAAAACCCTAAACCAAGATGAAGCAAGCAGATGCTAACCCCACACCTCACATCCTATACTCCCCCCTATGCTTTCAACCCATTTCTCAACCCGCCTAAGATTTCAACCCTTAAACCCCGCAAAACACAAAGCACCTCCCAACAACCAATACAATAATCCCGAAAACAAAGCAACCCACCAAATCCAAACAACAATCCATAACACAACCCAAAACCCAAAGCACCTAAACACTCCAGAACCTTCTCCATAAAATAACCAATATCAGGTGTGGGGTAAGACCCTAATTGAAAAATCCTCAAAAAATTATAACCCTGAACTGGGAACTGCTACAACATAGGATTTTACTAAAATTATTTAGTAAAATGCTATTTCTTATAAAGTTTTGCCATTCCATTTTGTTCTTTGCTTTCTTTGTTTCTCTCATCCTCTCGTCTCATAATATCCACTGTTCTTGCGTCTATAATTTCAACAAATAGTTTTCCATTCCTTACATAAGTCGTCATCATACAGTTTTCAATATACGGTATATTGTCGGTTAATGTATTCATAACTTCGTTCTTTATCCAGCTTAGGTCAGTATTATTTTTAGTTATTTCCTGTTCGTTTGTATACCCGGATGCTTCTGCCATTAATATGTAAGTTCTCATGTCTTTAAATGTTTTTTGTAAAATATGTTTTTTGTAAAATGCAATGTCTAATGTGCTCTCTTTTGGTCGTCAAACTTAATCTCATAATAGTCTAATGTCTCCTTCTTAGGAAACTTAATATCTTGTTATTCAGTTTATTAACATATACGCTTCTCTTATTCGTGTAAGCATCACTATCTTTATCAATTGGTTTGTTAACTTGTTTAGGCTTATTAAGTAATTCTTCAAGTTTTTCTCAATAAGTTCTAACTTCTCTAAAATCTTTTGAGTGCTGGTGCGCTTGATTGGCTTTACAACATCATCTACATCGCTCATGCTTTTTAAAAGCTTTAGATTAAAACTTGTTTTAAAGTTTTATGAAAACGCGTTTAAAAATCCTTATAAAGACATAGTTTTTGCTTATAACCCTTCGTGCTATTTAAGCATCTCCTACACAATTTGTTATACTTTTGGCTTTTATTTAAACTGCGAAAGCATTGTATATCACGACATATCTTACAATTAGGACAGTATTTAATATCATTCAGTTTATATTCATATTTCTAGTTTTCATGAATATTAAACGATACAACAAAGCCATCGTGATGCCTGGCTGGGGACCAAATGCTCCAATTGTTAAAGCTGCGTGTTGAAAGGACAGGAGGCGGACGCTTGCGGACACTTTCTTTCATTCCAGTCTTTTCATCAGGGCTCAGCCGCACTAGGGTGTCAACGCTTATAGTGGGCGATTTTGCACGTTGTTTGGGCTTTGCCGATGAAGGCACTACTACTTGGAAAGGCAGAACTTCACTTGATGACCTCGTCAATGTCCGAGCTGTCCTCTGGGTCGTCCTCTTCGATGAGCACAAAGCCTTCTTTTTCCGCCAGCCTGTCGAGCACGCATTTTTGTGCCTCATTGAGGGAGCGGCTTGCTTGGATGCCAGGTCCCATCGAGGGTGATGTACTTGACTGACAGTTGCCTAAACGTGTCCTTCAAGAAGAGGCCGGGAATCGGGCCTGCAGGCAAGCAATTCTGAACAGCCTTGTTCAAGAATTGCACAGCATCTCCTGAGAATGTCGACAAGTCCCTCAGGATTGACGTTGTGCTCCCGGAAGCATTTTCTTCCTGCTTGACTTCGTCAACGATTAATTCAATCAAGGCGCGGGCAGTGAATTCCCCCCTTATGGCCATGAGATCCTTCTTCAGGGCCTTCATCTCCGACGTCTGCGCCTTCATCTCCGCCGCCTGGATCTGCGCCTTCATCCGCCTCGATCTGCGCCTTCATCTCCGCCGCCTGCGCCTTCATCTCCGCCGCCTGTGTCTGGGCCTTCATCTCCGCCGCCAGGGCGCGGAGAAGCAGCTTCGCTTTGTCCTGGTCATTTTGTTTGGCCAGTTCGTTCGCTAGCTCTTCCCACGCTTCCGCTGACTCTGCCCGGCACCCTCGCACGGCCAGAGACTTTGAAGGAATTTTCGTGCTTGCCACAACCCCGCTCGGCCAGACGACAAGGCCGAAGGCGAGCACAAATAAAGCACAAATCCGGGCAAATCTATGGCTCAGAACGCCCATGGCGCAGCAAAATCAGACCAACAGCTATAACAAACTGAGCTAGCAGTTCTGCGCCTCAAGTCGAATGCTGAAACAGGCTTCCGGCATGAATGCGCTGATGAGCAAGGCTAGCTTACTCTTGCGGTCCGATAACAACAAGCCAGGCGCACCTTTTTTGCTTTGAAGTTGTAGCACAGAGAAACCACACGTTGCGTTTCGGGCGTGGCTGTCAACTTGAGTTCAGGGTTATGGGCTTTTGGGGGATTTTTTCTGTTAGGGTCTTAGGTTAAGTATTGTTTAGGTGCTTTGGGCTTTGGGTTGTGTTCTGGATTATTGTATTGGTCGCGTCGGCAGACGCCTCGCGAGGCTTCGCGACTGGTAGGTTGCTTTGTTTCGGGATTGTTGTATTGGGTTTGGGGAGGTGCTGAATGTTGTGAGGGATTTATTGGTTGAAGTGTTAGGCGGGTTGAGAAATGGGTTGAAAGCATAGGGGGGAGTATAGGATGTGAGGTGTGGGGTTAGCATCTGCTTGCTGATGAATCTCCCATCCTACGCTTGGGCTCCCGAGCCGGCAGGCGTGCTGCGGCCTCGAGGTCGACGTAATGACCCGCAGCGGCCTTCATTAGGCTCAGGGTTTGGGGTTTGGGGTTTGCGGGGTTAGGGTTTATATAGGGTTTAGGGTTTGCTGAGGATTTTACTTAGCTTTGGGCTTTGGTTTCGGTTTTAGGGTGCTTAAAGTAGGGCTTCAAGCTTCAAGGCATTCCAGTCGGGGCATGCCCAGTCCCTCGAGCAACCGCTGCGCCAAAGGATGTGATCACACCTGTAGTCTCCATTGTAGTTCCTTTTTGGGGATACCTTATAAAATTCTTAATATACTTAATATATAATTGGTTAAACCAAAAAAAGGAACTACAATGGAGGCTACAGGTAGGGCTCAAGGGGCTTTTTTACTAGTTTAGTTTGGGGTATCGGGTATCGTTTCCAAGAAGAGTCGTTTCTGGCCTCGTCGGGGTTGGCGACGGCTAGCACACCCCGGCATCAAGTTTACCGGAGCCTTTCCTGACAAGACATCGAACCGAGACAGAAAACCTTTACAGGAGCTCCATAGGACCATAGGTTTAGGGTTTAGGGTTTAGGGTTCTGGGACTACCGCATACACTCGAGAGGGTTTTCTTTGAAGCCAGAGATGGACATAGAGGAGCTTCTGAGCCCAAGCTGACCGAGTTACAAGTGCTTGCCTGACAGGCCTTCACGGTCTAAGTTGGGCGGCGGATTGTGTGTTACTTCGGGTTGGCTATTGCCGATTGGCCAATCCAAGGATAGGAGCCCAGTAACCCTCAGCCCTTAACAAGTCCCTTAGACGAACCCCAAAAGGAAGCCGTCGCAGAACCCGGAAAAGAACCCGTAAAGGACCCCTTTCTAGGAACCCGCAGTAATAACACCCTAAACCCTAAACCC